ATAATTTTTTATTTTTCATTGTATAAATATACTAAAATATGTAATTAAATGTATAAACTATCTTGCAAAATATGTACAAAAACAAAAAATGTAGGTAATGTTAATAAACTGTTTATTATATTATAATATGCGTTTTAATAACATTAATTTTTTAGAAGCCCCTATCAAATATGTTTTATTTGTAAAATTATGTATTATAATATATTGCTAATAAATAATAATATTATTGATTCTGACTTTGATTATGATTTGGAATATATTTCTCATTTATGAGAAAACTGATTACTGAATACTTTAAAAATTAGTTTCCTATATTAATATAATGATATACAAAAATKAATTAAAAGTATCATATTTTAATATCTGGTTTAAAGTTGTACACATTTAGTAATAATTGCAATTGTTTATAATAAGTCAACAATTAAATTGTAAATTGTATTAAGTATATTATGAATAGTATTTTTTGAATAYATATTACATCATAGTATAATACTATAGGTTTGAACTATCTTAAATAGAAAATTTTTTTTCCGSGATTCGTTAATTCCATGTAATGAACTAAAAATGTATCTATTAATCTATTACTTGACATTTAAGAGTTAATCAACAACTTTTTATTGTCGTTGATCAGAAGCATTTGTGAATGAATGTATGTGAACAGTTTAATATGTAGAAATGTAGATTGTATATTTGTATACATATATAAAGATAACATTTTTTTTTATATAGTAACATAATAATGCTCTGGCTGTCTGATATCACCTACTGTATGTTGGTCATTACTCGTTWATCATCTCAGAAAAATCTGCAATGATTAAAATAATAAAATTATACCAATAAGATCCATGAAAATTGGCGTGTTAAAATTTAATCGAAATAACAATACTTTCAATAAAAATACATTGAAGCTTTTCACTATTTATTAAATTAACAATTAGTATAGTATAATTAAATTTATTTTTAGGTGCATGGAGTGACAGTCATGGAAGAAAACGTAAACCTTTGATTTTCTTACCAATAACAACACAGATACTAACAGATGGTTTATTCTTTGTTATGAGCTGTTGGAGCTACTTGAGTTATAATTATGATTTCTTAAGATGGATAATTCCTGCAATTTACGTTGGTCGAAATATTTTCTGGATTGGTGTGATGTCATATGTATCAGAAAATTCAACTGTTGAATCAAGAACTTTAAAACATGGAATAATAATTGCAACTTATCCTATAAGTTCGTTAATGGGTGCGGGATTGGTTGCATTATTAAAATATATAAACATACCATATGGTTATAGAAATTTTCTGTTTTTGGTACCAATGCTGTTGAATTATATTGCGYTGTCGGTTGTCAATTTGCACGTTAAGGACACATCTAGCTCTCCCAATAGAGACATTTTATGGAAGAGACCAAAATATGTTCTTAAAGAGTTTACCGATTTATTTCAGGATAAGTTAAAGAGTTCTGCTGTTATATTAGCTATATTGATAATATGTCAATCAATAATAGTAACAAGAATAGAATGTAAGTAATAAATATTATTTCTGTAAATATTAAACATTAGAAATCATAATATTGAAATCGTATATTTCAGGTGATAATAATTTAATAATGTCGTATGTAATAACATCGTTTATGTGGCGTGATTTTGAGGAAGTTTGTTTTGGCGTTTTGAAAATGCTGGCTATATTTTTCGGTAATTATTCAACTATTTTTTTAGTTGTTAGAAAAACAAAATTATCTGCAGTTGAAGAATTATTTAGCTATTAAGTACTTATTGGAGGCCTAAAAATGTAGACCTACATTCAATTATTTCAGTATGAATACTTTTAAATTGTTTTTCATTTTTCACTTAAGCCTTTTTTATATACTTTCTTTTTGTTTCTAGGAACTATATTATCGGTTTCGGTTTTAAGTCATCAAATGAAAATAAACGATTTACTAATTAGTATTTCAATTTGCTGCTTTTATATCATAGCTGCTGTATGCTACATTTTTTCAAATCAATTTTTTAAAATATTTTTGAGTAAATATTTATTCATATTTGATTATTCATATTATACTCATACAAAATTAATAAGAATTTTTTTATAGTTACAATAATTTATTTATGCCATGGAACAGCGGTCACTATCATTAGTTCGTTAACATCTAAATTGGTGCCAATCGAACAGCTCGGTATCTGCGTATATATTTTTACTACCTATATAATTATTTGTAAATGTTATTAGAAAAATTATAATGTTTACATTTTTTAGGCCGTTTAAATGCCATACAAATGTGTATGAACTCTTTATTTACTCTTAGTGTAGTTAGTGCTTATCAATATGCATTTGAACCCATTCATTATAATGAACTTGGACATTTGTGTTTGTTCAATATATTGTATGCCGTTTTGACTTTGCCTATATTATATGTATTTGTGTAAGTTATTTCTCATCTCAAAAATTATTTACTTACTTATATTTAGATTATATTTATATTTTTTTTTATAGGATTTTGTATTTAAAATACAAACATTTTTGGCAAAACGATACCATTGCAGAAAAACGATGTAATGTTTACGTTATAAGTTAATAATGTTTTAATATTATTTTCTATTTTATTTGTGGAAATTTAATACGTATAACTGCTGTCATTTTTGTAAAAAGAAGKAATGTCATATCATTTATTTAATTTGTGCGTTGAATTGWTAATTGTTATTTTTTTATTTTTGTCATAGTAAGTAAATAGAAAATATAATAATAAATACAACAATGCTAAAGTCAACTATATTCTATTTATCGAATTTGGCTGTTTAAATTTATTACAATGAAATAAAATATTCTTCTAAACAATTAAATTAAAAACAATATATATATATAAAATATAAATGTTATAGAGTAATTTATAATTTATATGAATTTAATGACCAGAATTGTAGGTGTGTATATTTTCGATTATTATGGATTTAATTTGCAGTTTATCTAAGTATAATGTAATACTGTATTTACCAATGATTAAAGACAATTTTTTTCTAGAATATTCATTTAAGATATTTTAAATCTTAAAAAGCACTATAATTCCAAATTGGCAAACTTAAACGATTCTGTGTATGTAATGATTAAAAAAATTACAATTATAATTTACTTTACAGATAATCACTGACCTTTGATAAAATTATTATCCACAGGTTACCAATTTACCATAAAGGTCCTCTTACAAGGTGTTATTTCAAAAAATAAAAGTCTATATGATTTAAAACTTAATATTAYACATGGTATGTACCTATAACAATATTAAACAATATTATATGTATTCATCGTGCTTATAATCTCTTAAATATAATTTAAGTAACATGACACCAATATATTAATTATTCAGATAAGATGATTGGTATACAAAATAAAAGCGTACTAATCACTCCGCTTGAATAGTACGACCACAGTATTATTTCGTGTCTCAATACAATTAATTGTGAAGAAACTGACCATCATATTATTTAGATACAGCCGGACTCGACAGATTAAGAAAACTATTATAACGGCAACGTCTCGCATCAGATCTTAAAAAAATATAGATGTATAATTTTAAATACATTTCATGATTCTTGTATACGGTATCACTACTACAATAAGTCTTTGAGAACATTTTCATAAACGATTTTTCAGACGAAATACGGCAGCCATCTATAAACCATCGTTCAAAATAAGCGATTTTCGCATAATATACTAAGACACCAAGAGAATTATAATAATATCACTATGATATTTAATTCACGTAAGTAATCGTTAATCCTAAACATTTTAATAGCATGTTTCTCTTATTTATATTAAAATAGTATAAATAATTTTCTCGTAGTGAGTAGGTATGCGTACTATTTATATAATATATTGTAGTATAGTGTTTCGATGTTTTATTTAAATTACAAAATAATTATTTATTTAAATACACAATGTAAATATCCATTAACCAAATTTTATGACGAGTTCTTTATTTCACTTTTGGGCAGTTAAAATGTGATTATTTTATGTTTTAGTCATGCTTTGATGTCTTGATCTCGAGTATTGTAATAACGAGAATATTCATCATTTTTAATTTTAAACGCGTGAACTCTAATTTTAATTAACTGGATACAATTTTACWMTAAAATAAAAACTTAACTTTGGCGAAATTTGTTTTATACTAAAAAAATTTAATGATAAAAACATAAGAATTAAATTGAAGAAAAATGCCTAACTCGGAATACTTAAAATGTGTATTACTGATGACCTTATTTAAGTTCTATAAAATATTATTGTGAGTGTCATTAATAGATTTTTCTACTCAACATTTGTCCACTGATTTAAATATGCTCATTTTATGCATAATTAATAATTATTGAAAATAAAAATAATTTCTGCATCGAAATAAACATTTTGTATTTATTTTTAGCAAAATAATTGATTCCTTGCATCGATAACAAAAGGGTTCCCTATTTAGGCATACCATTTTTATTTATAACATAAGTTAAATCAATAACTATGAATAATAATCAATGTAAAAATAAAAATTAATTGCATCTAAAAAAAATATGTATATTATGATCTAGAAATTCGAATTGTAAGA